GGCGTGGCAGCCTTTGTGGTAGTCCTGCCACCGTACTTCATCAACGGATGGCGGCGCCGCGGGAAGACCGCGGAGCAACTTGCTGCCATGGCGGCCCTGGAGCCTGCGTATCGCCGCAAGTTTGTTCCTGTGCGCCGCCTTGGCGTCGGTTACGTCGTTGTGGTTTTGCTGCTGATCTTCTTCACCGTCCAATCTCCCTTGGTGAGCTACACGAAGGTGTCGAGGGGGGGTTCGGTCGCCCTTGGTGTCATTACGATTGCGCTTGTGCTGTGTTTCTTCCTGATGCTGCTGCCTCTTCCGTGGCTGGGCGGTATGGACAGCATGGACGGCAGTACTGATGAAGAGCCCGTGCGGGCTAATGAGGAGGAGGAGGAGGAGGAGGAGGAGGATGGCTGTGGCAAAGGGGTTGACCCCGCTACTACAAACACCATCCTGCCAAAAACGTCAGAGAAGGAGCCAGCTGCCTTGCCAGATGGGGCCACAAGTGCGTCTGACAGCGCTGTGGAGGTTCCGCGGGATTTCCGCTATGACGGCACCGTGTGGGATAACTTAAAGCGACTAGACATCTGGTTGATATTCATTGTGTTCATATTCCAGAGCGTCATGGGTGTCATTGTCGTTTACAACGCAAGTACCATTTCCGTGGCGTTGACTGGGCGTAAGCGGAGCCAGCAGACCTCCGCGCTGTACACCGCGTTCCTCGGAGTGTCCAGCACTATTGGACGTACGGCGATGGGAATGTTCGAAGCCTTTGTTCAGCACCAGCCCCCCAACAACCGCCGGTACCTGGTGACGCTCGCTTTGCCTCTTTCGCCGCTCCTTGCTGCCATCGCCGGCATCTTGCTTCTAACGCTGCCAGGGGAGGCCATCTTGTTCCCTTACATCATCGTGTACTTTGAGGAAGGTGTGTTTGCCGCTGTTGGTGCCTTGATATTTCCGTCGATGTTTGCAAACGACCATGCTGTGTACTACAATGTTGGATGTATGACAACAGTGTTTTCCGTCGTGGGATTTAACCGTTTTCTCTTCGGCTACGTGGTTGATGCAAAGCACGCCAGCTTGGGGTTTGGCCCCAAGGAGGAATGCAGCGTGCCGGAGTGCGTGCGCATTCCGATCATCGTCGCCTCATGCGTGGGGGCTGTGGCGGCTATCCTCTCGCTCGTTTTGCACATCCGCTACAGTCGATTTGTTCGTAAGATGCGTCATGAGATGGAGGAAAGGAACTGATTTAGGTTTTGTGGAACGGTTTTTTTTGTTTTATTTTTTATTTAGCAGTTGGGTTTATTCTGTATGTAGGCAGCTTGCGATGGAATTAATTTATAATTTTTGTTTTTGGTGCTTTGTAGATTTTTTGCCAGTGTTTCTTTTTTTTTTTGTATGCTTGGCAATGTGGCCACTGCACGGCTGCGGCACGGCGGAGCGATAGGACTTGTTGAGCGCTTTGTTGTATTTTTTTTTTATCAAAAGATAAAGAAAACGTTCGTGTTTTTGATGCATTTATTTTTTAGGAATGTGCTTAACTGCCCCTGGAGCTAAAGGAGGGTGAGGGAGGGGAGGGGGGGGGTGTTGGGCGTGCCGCGGTGCTTTGAGTTACAGCAGTTGTGCGTGTGGCAGCTGCAGCGTTGTGCAGTTGAGGACGCATGCTGCTCTCTTTTTTTTTTTTTTTTTGAGCTGCCGGTGGCCTTTCAGGGCGGCTGCAAGAGACCAAAATAAGCGAGGCGCCGGGTGGGTAAAAGGCGGTGGTGAGGGCGGGTGCTCAGCGGGTCCGTTTCCGTCGCCGCCGTCGGTTGCGTCGCGTGGACGCTTCTGGCGCTGAGCATTTGGCCCAGCGCGAACTGGTCGAAGCCGCGGGGCTGCTGCGTCAGGCATGTCGGCGGCGGCATCCTGCTCATCTCCCAATTCACCTCATGCACGTCCTGAAGGGCAAAAAACCGGACTTTCACCTGGCGATGGGCTCCGAGCGTGCGCCGGAGATGTTCCACTGCTTGCGTGACGCCCTCGCGGGGGACTGCGCGGAGGAACGAGTCGCAACGGGACGGTGCCAGTCGTGCATGCGTGTCAACCTGGTGAACGATGGCCCAGTAGGAATTATTCTGGGCAGTCGGAGCAGACAGTGACGCCCTGTTGGGCGCTGCAGCGCGACGGCGTCCGGTTGTATTGCAATGCGTATGCCTGCCGCCTTGCGATGGGTCACCCGCCTCCCTGAATGAGGCTGGGCACTTTGTCCTGGCCGCACTTTTTTTTCCTTTTCTTGCCCTTGTCCTCTTTGCGCC